CAAGCCTGAATGGGCAATGGCCAAAGTTTGCCAAAGGCATGACAACAATGAGCCAGCAGCGACAACGTTGGCAAAAGGTAACTGCCAAAGCAGGTTTTTAAACTTTGAGTTTGGGCAAAAGTTCATTATTTCAATTGAAAGGAACACTAGCCATAGGACCCTGACCCTAGGCTGAGGGAATGTTGAGTATGGGTTACGGGGCATGGCATGGTGGTGAGATATACAGGGGGGACTGAACTGGACTGGGCTGGGGTTAACATCAGCACTCAGTCATTTAAAGCATTTGAACCCAACAGCTCATCAGCTGATTAGCCAAGGAAGATGGCTCAGGTGTCACCATTGACGAAATTGACAAGACAGTTCGGTCACCAGTTACATGGGCAGCCATCCATATCATTTGCGAGGTTGCTGAAGAGGCTGAGCACATAGGATCCTGGGCAGAGGGATGCGCTTGTCATCCATCAACATCTGAGGCTGCTTTGATTTTTAGGCAGTCAGGCTCCAAACGGCGTCGCTTGGAGCAGCCGCGTGGATTTTTGAACCACATCAACTGTCCTTACAAAGGTTGTCGCTCTCATGAATTTGCAACTGGTGGCGGGCATGCAAGCCTCATGAGACTGATGGTGGGCAACAAGCAAAGAATCATGTTCTATTTTGCATCAGTGCCATATCCTGAGAATCTAACCTTGGTATCTGACTATGAAAAAGCCCGGGCTAGACTGTGGAGTGACTTGCCTGTGCTGAAGACGCTACCGTTTTGTTTTGTATGTTGGCAGTGTCACAGGTTTTGGCAGCTTTGCAACTCCAACTGCTCATGAGGCCAACTCTGCATCAAGCTCAAATTTTGGCAGGAGTTGCCATGGTGTTTGTGTGGCCTGGCGTAATTCGCTCAGCCTCCAAGCGAAAACCAAAGATTGCCATTAATTTTGAAAGTAGTCAATGACGCAATGATAAAGCTGGTGTTGTTGCTGACTATGACTTTGACTGCTGTTTTTGGAAACAGACAGGTGGATTGGCACATTGGTGCCCATTGACGGTCTCAACCATGGCCAAAAAGTGTTTGGCGCTGTGGGCCAAGCAGACTTCTGGTTGCAAGCACAGGCAGTCCCGCAGATTTCTAGACCCACACTACTGTTCAAATGATGCGCGTGATCCGGGCCTTCGAAAGGGGGTGGAGATGCTCGCAAGCGGGTGCGAGATGGGAGATCTGCCACCTGCTCTGAGATTTCCATTGGCTAAATGGTTGTCTGCGCTCAAGTTGGTTCGCGTGGTGGAAAGGTCAGTAGAGGGAATCCACAGCCTTTTGAAGAACCGCTTGAAGAAAGCGCCTGCAGCAAAGGCTCCATACTTGAGTTACGAACTTCGGCACTCCCTTATCAAGCCAACCCTGAAAGCAGTAGCATCCTCTGATCCTCAGGTTACTTTGGCAGCAAATGCAAATGGGTGTTTGAAGTCTAAGTCAAAATGCCAATCCTCACCCACCAGCACTGTACTAGGTAAGCATCTGCTATTGCGACCAAAATGAAGATTGAGAGAGGAATGGTGAGATTGATTTTTTTTATCAGGAATCAGGAGTGCTAGTACTGTGAGAAATGCTTAGGCTCTTCAGCGTTTGATGTCTTCCACTTCCGGCATTGAGACGGATGCAGGCTTCCGAGCAATTGTGAGGCTTGATGGAAACTGGAATTGACTACAAAAAGTCTACACGATGGTCTTGGAAGTGACACCTCTCCAATCTCATGTGTTCTGTTAATATAATATAGTTAATCTAATCTAATCTAACTAGCAATCAATCAATCAATCAATCAATCTATCTATCTATCTATATATCTATCTATCTATCGATCTATCTATCTAAAGTATTTATCTAGCTATCTATCTATCTATCTATCTATCAGTCCATCTATCTATCTATCTATAATCTATATATATATATATAATCTATCTATATATATATATATCTAATCTAATCTAATCTAATCTAATCTATCTATCTATCTATCTATCTGAATCTATCTATCAGTAAGCTGGCTCACCCCACAAACAAATTGCATCTCTGTTGCGTGATTGTCAGGCGGTTGCTGTGTCTGGAAGACAAGGGAAGACTGGATCGAATGAATTCTGCAGCTCTTGCATCTCTGATATATCGAAATGATGTGAAGCAACTCAGCAGCACTACCAAACCATGTCAATCATGTCATTTGGCCAGGTGCAAAGCAAATCATGACTAATGTGTCATGGCCTAAGGTTGAAGCATGCTGACCGACCAGACCTGGAGTGTGTGTGGGAAGAAGCTGATGCTCAGCTGAAGGCAGAAAAGAAACAGCTTAAGCAGGCAGCCTGTGAATTTGCGGATGGAATTGCTGCCCTGCGCAAATCGATTGTGCTGGAACATTTGGTGAAGCTTTCCAGTGACCCGAGCTTGGTGTTTACCTTGCAAGTCCCAACACAGGAGCACGATGCACACCAGGCAATGCACCCAGGGCAGTCATCTTCATCCTCGGGCGCTGCGCTGGAGCAGTGCGTGCTGCCACTGGAATGTCTTTGGAGGGATGATTGGCGTCCCAACGAAGGCACTAAGTCACTAAGAGCTGTGTCATGATATGTCTGTCATTGCTGGTCTTTTTGGGCCACTACTGTCACTCCACTGTTAGTTGAAAAAATGTTAAGAGCATTCTAAGCGCCGATGCCAGCACAATGGCTTGGCTACCCGGCTACCCATTCAGATATTCATCAGCCATCAATCAGCATTGAATCTCGAGCTACAATCTGAATATATAGTTCAGCAGCGCAGCGCAGGTACAGCTGCCATTGATGACGGAGATCCAGACTTATTTGTTGTACAAGGTGCTCATGGCAGTGGCAGTGCCTCTTTGCAAGTTGTCTCTTGCACAGCAGGCACTGATGCACACTACTACAGTCACTATGCTTCATCGTTTCATCGTGCTGGATTTCGGACTGACACAACAGGCCAACTTGGGATACCACACAAGCAGAACTTTTTTCGCATAGTGGACAACGTCAAGCATATTTGCCACTACCAGACCATACAGGGCGAGCCTTTGAAAGGTGCTGCTGATTACACAGTACAGCTGTACAGGGGGGTGAGCGCTGCAAATTCTCGTGAAACTGCAACCATACATCCGCTGGGTCCTCCCAGGGCTTTTGCTCTTCAGCACATGTCCCATGAGCAGCTATGCACTTGCCTTCAAGTCTGGCGGGTGAATGGAACCCACTACTATCCTCCACGAGACATGTCGCTTTGATGTAAATGTGAAGGGTGTTTGTTTTATGCTGGAGGCTGCACATATCAAGCTACATGTCATTAGGTTTAGTCTAGTCTAGTCTAGAGTATGTTGAAAATTATGTTGGACAAACTTCATTCCTAAGGCTACAAGATCGAGCAGCTCTGATGACACAAATGGCTTCCAAGAATGCCATTCAGGGTGCACCAAATTCCATCACACATTGTGATCACGTGCCAACCAGTGACATGGAATGGTTGCACAATATGAAACTGGTCACCGAAATTTATTCTGGCAACTATCAACTTACTGCATTGGGTGTTGCAAAGTTGACTTTGGCACAAACAATTCAGAAGTTGGGAGACTTTTGTTCGGCTACACCACCTACAAAGGAAAACATGTTCGAAATGTGTTCCTCCAGCACTCGTTGGGAACTTATGCTTTATTTGAACAGGACTGGATGGGTTGACATCGAAAGCGAGACAACTTCTGTAGAGCCTTACAAGTCAGGAAGCAAGAAAGAATACTTCATATTGAAGAAGAAAACATCAGTGCCACTGTACCACTCCTATCTTTCCTGCCTGGTCTTGGCAGAGAGATTGTTCTCATCAGGAGTGACTAGTCTGATGCATTTTCAACCAAATGGTTACTACTCGACCATGATTAGCCTTGCTGAGCATGCAGACAAGCCATCGTATCGCAAGAGGCTTGAGCGATTGCTTCCGAATCAAACTCTGACTTACTACCGAGAAGTACTCAGTCGGGCAGAAAAGGGAATAGACCCTATGGATGACAATGTTGATGAAAGCTCAGGTGGAATGGGTAGCAGTGGGCAGCGGCACTCGAATGCTCATCAGGAATCAGCTATGTTGGAAGATGAGCCTTCTCTTGACCAACCATCAACAGCAATCCATGCTTCAAGTGAACTTGACCGTGGCCGCGGGCGTGCGCGTGGACGCGGTGTGCGTGGACGCGGAGGTGTGCAGAGTCGTGGTAGGGGCAAGGGCAGGGGCAAGACGAAAAGGATGGAAGCAGAGGGCAAGGATGATGATGATAATGCCAACTCTCAAAATGACATTGGTGCATGTCCGAGTCCGGGTCCGGGTCCAGGTGATATTGATGCTGATGCCATTGAGGTCCAATTGGAGACAGAGCCTGATTTAGGAGTGCAGCAGGATGTCAATGAGCTGTCTTCCAGCTCTAAGGGTGTTGGAAAGACTCAGCCTTCAGAAGCAACTGTTGTGCATGGCTCATTCTTCTCAGCTCACACAGGATTGTCTGAAGTTGGCGTGGCTGTTTCGTCAAGATCCACATGCGGCTTATGCAGGGAAAAGATTGCCATCAATACTATCAGGTTCGCGTGGTTCAGTAGCAGGCAACGGCCTTCTATTTGGCTTCACGAGAAATGTGTGCCTTCGATGGCTTTGACTGAGACTTTGAAAGTCAACAGCGTTCGAGTTTTGAGGAAGCTTGTGGCTGATTTGGAGGCGCTTGTGAGCATCTCTGCCGATGGAGCGACCAGCGCTGCCAGTAGCAAGGCTGGCACTAAGGAGGCTGCAACAGCCCCTGCACGGTTGGAAGCTAGTAGAAGGGTTTTGGACGTGCTCTCTTCCCAGTAGAGGCAGTAGAGTTTTGTGTTTTTTGTTCTCAATTGAGAAACATATATAGTTAGAATTAGAATGTTACAACTTGTATCAAATTGTGCTCTACTTGTTTTGCTAGATCTGTTGGTGGGCCTACACGCAAGACTGAAAACTTTTCAACAAGGACCAAATAGTTTGACCTGACCCAGACCCAGACTGAAAAAACGATACTGAACAAAACAATGCAGGATTGTTCAATGCTGAGATAATCCCAGTGTTGTTGGTTGATTGGCTGGGTCAGAGTTGTCTCACTAAGAGATAGACATAATTGACGCCGGACGCCAGATGCATGAAACAATCTGCTACAGGACTACTGCTGCAGTCAGCATGGGCTGCCAACTTTTAGCATTGAGACAGAAAAATAAAAATGTTTAAACTTGAACAATGCGTTTTGTACTTAGCGTTTCTTTATGTTTGCATTGCATCCATTGAAAAAAAATTGCCGCCTGCCTGTCTCCAGTCGCAGCCTTTTCTGTGTTTGCATGTCCTGCTTGGCCAAGCTAGTCATGCCGGTTCTGATTTGTCTTGTCTGTCTTGTTCCGGCACTTTTGTCTTGTCTGTCTGCAGGTGGTATTGGCCGCGTTTTTGCTTTAGGTCTTGTCTTGTCGAGGCCGTGTCCATTTGGCAGCTGCCTTCTCTGGGCCTTGTTTGTGGTTGGTTTTGTCAGCTATTCTTTTCCGGCCCTTGTTCATTGTTTGAACACTGTTTGTTTGTGATTGATTGTTTTCAATGCAACAGTCAACAGTGATGCATTGCTTCGCACATGACTTCATTATTAGAGTTCAAGGAATCAATACAAAAATAAATGCAGTAAGTTATTGTGGTCTATCTATGGTTTAAGCTGTTATTTTTGAAGCCATTTCAATGTTTAAATCATTTTTAGTTTTGAATAATCTTGTAGATGATTTTTGAGAAAAAAGGTTATAAGAAAAAAACATATTCTTATAACTGTTTGGCAATTTTGGATTACTGGTTATGAATTCTGAAAAAAGTTATAAGAATATTATTTTTTCTTATAACTTTATGTCATTTTGGTGCTGATAGGTTTGCATCAGTTTGGCAAGGAAATGCTTGAAATGAAAGTGTTTCTGATCAGGGCTAGGTGGCTCTGGCATGATAACTTTTACTTGGAAGTAGACTATTTCACTACAAAAACTATGCAAACCTATCAGCACCAAAATGACATAAAGTTATAAGAAAAAATATTCTTATAACTTTTTTTCAGAATTCATAACCAGGATTCCAAAAGTGCCAAACAGTTATAAGAATAATTTTTTTCTTATAACTTTTTGTGCCATCTACACTGAAAAGTAGAAGAGAGTTTCAATTCAGTACTTGAATGCAATAACTGTCTTACTGTTTGCTGCTCATACATCACTTGCTTAAGGGTTCAGGCTTGGCGGAGGGTGACTTCACTTGAAGCCATGGCCATGGAGAATCCAGAACCAAACACTTCGAGGAAACGTTCTTTTCCGGAAATGTCCGAGACAGCTGTTGAAGGTGAAGAAGAACACGAGAGTTCATCATTGTCAACAGATTCAAACAAAGGTGAAGGTGAAGGTGGTGAATCTGAGCAGGAAAATGCAGATGATGTGCTTGTGGAACCTGGCTCGTTGGCTCAGCTTTTCTCAGAAGAGCCACACGAGCCTGAGCCGGAGCTGCAGAGAAACCAGAAAGGAAATGCTGAAGCCGATGCTGCTGAGCACATCACCAGAGAAGCTCATACAGCTAGGCAAGCTCTGTCTGACTTGAGGCATTTTCCTTGGCCGGATGGGCCATCTGAGTATCCAGATCTGTTTGGATGGCCAGAACGATACGCAAAAACCATTCTTGATCATCCGGACGAGGGTAGTGGTTCCCTGGAGAGGTTTCTCAAATTGACTGAGTATGAACTTGTTCATCACGAGGGCTTCGCTGGCTCTGGTGGAGCAGGAATTGCATTGCATATGGCTTGGAATGCATTGCGTCAAGAAGCCAAGCTTCGACAGGACTCCGACAGTCAGAGTCAGTGTCCTATACAGATTACAGTTTACAGTCGAATGAAAGACTTAATCTTGTAACTTGTTGACATTTGTTTTATCAAAGATAGCTGAAAGGCAAAGGGGGGGTGGAGCTGGTACTCAGGTCAATCAGCCTTGGGCAACGGAGCGGTGTACACCAATACCTCGTGTGATTGCAGCAAAGCATGCATAAACCATTTGAAATCCATAAGACAGGAATCTAAACTGAATTTGTGACAGTGGATCTGTGCACCACTACACTACATACTCAGTCTCAAGTATTCAGTGCTGTCAGTATTCTCTTTGACTTATCGAGCTAAGGAGTTTCGTCCGCGTCATGTACAAGGTAGCTTTGAGAGCAGGCTTGCGCCTGGAATTGAGGAAAGGCTTGAAGGTATCAAGCAAGGCATTACTTGTGAGCTCAACATGGCTTTAGGTGTTGAACTTAGCGTGAGGGCTATGTTGGATGTTGGCAGTGGCAATGCCTAACACAAACCATGATATGTGAAATGCGAAATTGTTACTATAGCGTTATTGCGTTCCTTAACACATTCATAAGGCGAAGTTGATCTGGGTGATGACCATCCGCTGAAAGAGGCAGAGATCAAGGCAAAGTTTGGAGAGCGGCTGATTACTGAGTATATGAAAGTGCTTCTTCAAAAGGGTGCTTTCAAATGCACTGCGCAGTGCTTCAGCAATGGTCACAAGGAACACGTCTTGTGGCAATTGTAATTTGCAGTGTGCAAAGTGCAGAGTGCATTGGCATACTGTACCATAAACCTTTGTCATGTCAGGAGTGTGTGACACCAACTGGAGAGGCTATTCTTCGAAGGGAGCTTCAACAGAACACAGACAGTGAAAACGCGATCAAACAGCTTCGGATTAGCACTGGAGGAACTATATGCGTGGACGTATCACAAATGGGCATCTCACACAGCAGTACTGTCATGTCTTGAAACAAATTCACAACAGTGCTTAATCCAACCCGGCTACCAAAGTCTCAGGTGCAAAGGCAGGCCTACTTGGCAAGAGCACGCTCTCACTCGCGATATGGCTGGCAGAACGGAAACTATCTCAGGAGGAGTGGCAAATTGATTGCCATGTACTTTTCTGAAGTTAGTCAATCTAGGCGTTTGGCAGCAACTGGCGACACGAGCTGGTTTCTTCTCCAGGACGTGGTGGTACACGAATGCGCCAGTCAATTTCTGAGGTTCTTGCTGGAGATGTGGCTGCCAGAATACGAGTGGCATATGCTCATCAAGCCGAGCTGTGGAAAAATGGGTAGGGGGTTAGATCCAATAGGAGAAATCAACTCAACCGAAAAGGCTTGGTCACTTTCGCCACATCAATTTGGATGGCCCATGTCGCGTCCTAGACTGTTCACAGTTGGCATCAAGAAGGAGTCTGTGAAGTTGAATAGTTCCTGGTGCCAAGGGAGTTCAGGTCTAGAAAAAATGAGATATCTATTTGTGAAGCCGAACATGAATTCCAGCTGCTTCTTTTGCGCACCATCAGAAGCTAGACGGCAGAATAGTTTCATTATCAGTGATCATTGTTTGAATGAAACTTAAGTTGTTCTTTCTACATCATTAGTCTTTTGTCTACTACACGAGCTATCAGGATCATGTGGAGAAGGAGAGAAAGGCTGCAGCCTCTGCAGCGTCGAGAGCATCTGGACCTTTTGATTCTCTTCTACGAGGACAGGTAGTTGACTGTGTAGTTCAAGTTGGTGTCACTTTTTGTGTTGTTTTATTGATGCAGCTGCTGGATTTGTCTTAAGGCGCTAGACCAGTATGGTTACGTGGATACCGCAGCTCAGAGAAAGTCCTGGCTGCATTTCAAAAGGGTGACTTGCTTGCCTACGAGATATTGCAATCATATTATGTTTCTTTGTTTTGTTTCTTTGAGATGGTTGTGGTCATGGTTGAGCTTGCACCGAACTCCATAACAAAAGCTCAGGCCACAAATCAATGGTTGCGAATTTGAATCAAAATCCTGCGCAGAGGTGTGTTGTGAGCACTTTCATGCCGTGTCTCTTACGACAGGGGATGATGTGGCTACTATTGCCACCAGGGGAAAACAATCATGACAAACAAGAAGAGCGATGGCTGTTGGCAGAGGATTCTTTGTTTTCATTTTCCATATTTGATCAATTTTGGGTAACCTGTTTGTAATGACTGTCTGTTTGTAATGACTCTTAAAGTAAAGCAAAGATAAAGACAAATGCTAGACTTAAGTATCTCAGGAACAGCTCAGCTCTATGGGACACTATCAATACGAGCATTTGGCAGCTGGAGCGAAGCAACCATGGCCTTTACATGGTGGAACGCTGAAA